TTAGCACATTGGAAGGAAGCGCCATGACGGGCAAAGGCAGTTCTGAGCATGGACAACTTAAGAGTGCGTGATACAAGGCTGCGCGTTGCAAGACCATTATTTTAACGCTCGAACATTTGACTTAATGTGACACTACAGCGGCCTTCCAAACAGCGCCACGTCAGATACAGTAATTTCTTGCAATACATGGTTGCCAAACGATCTAGACCAAGTCTCGCAAATAAAGGGCTTGATGGGCTACAAAAACCAGTATCGTACACAGAACGCAAAGATCGCTTTAGCATTCGTTCAAGCCTACCTAACTGGGTTAAGGAAAGGCCAGCAGAAAAACAATTTGATGCATATAGAAAATCTGGCAACACTAGGCACTTTACGAAGGTTTCTCGGCAAGTCAGCGGAATATTGTGTTGATTTCGGAACAGAATACCAATTTTACTGGCTAGTTTGGAGACCATAGAATCAACTTGAGTGCTCCAAGAAAGATCCTGGTCCAAATGTATTCCAAGGTACTTTGCACATGTCACTTGCTTTAGCTGCACTCCATGGCAGTAGACTGCAACTTGGTTGTCAGTAATATGTGGCGTAGACAGGAAGAGCACTTGTGTCTTCCGAGCATTTAGAATTAAATTGCGGTTTGACAGCCAGGTACTAATGGCTGAGACAGACGCAGACAGGGAGTTGCTAAGCGCATTCTTCTGCGTACCGCAAACATACAATAGAATATCGTCAGCAAATTGAATAACTTTCACACAAAACTCGGAGACAATGGACTGGATCGAACGAACATAGAGTATCAACAACTTTGGACATATCCACGAGCACAGCACCAGTAATTTGTCCGGCATCGCGAGCGCGAACAAACGTGTCCGTGACGAAAACTAGAGCGTCTTCCGTTGAATGTTGACGTCTAAAGCCAAAGTGACAGGGAGGGTACAAATTCTCCTTGTCCAGAAATGAGGATAGTTGTCTATGGACAATTCGTTCTAACAGCTTCGACACAATTGGCAGGAGAGACACATGGCGATAATTTCCCGGATCTTGAGGATTTCCAGCCCTGAATACCGGCGTGACATGTGCCAACTTCATGCCGTCCGGCACAGAACCAACAGCAAGAGATGCATTAAATATCAATGTTAACCCTTCACTGTCCGTACATACAAGCATCGATCCAATGGGATCGATGGGGTAGGCATTTTGAAATTATCGTAACTTGCTCAAATCTTTTGGAGAGATCGAAATATGTAGGTCGAAGAGAAAAGTCTCAGCTATCGCCTCGAACAATTCCCGAAGCGATACGAAGAGCGGTTGCTGAGTTATCGCACTCGTAATTCTGGTCCCGGGAAATGTGCGTTCAGAGCGCGACGCGCATATCGACGGCTGGGATTTTCCCTTTTTACGTCACCTGTTGGCAAGGCTACACCGATTCAAATTCAAAAGTAGGTTCCCGGGAGTCTCTACGAAAATATTTGAGCTCGATACGAGCAACAGGGATGACATGGTGGATTGAGATCGATCTCGAGCGTGAGCTCAGCGCTTTTGCGCGTTCCCTGGCTTGCAGCGCTGGATTAGTGCATCCTGTGGCGTCGAGTGTGGGCTCATTGCGTTCGTCTCGTCAAGACCTTTCCAGGATGCCCAAGATCGTGGAAATCGTCAAATTCAAACCAAAGTTACGTCTAATTTTAGTTTCAGATTTTGTGGTTGCGTGGGCTTGTATACATTTTAATCGGACAGTAAAGGGTTAAGGAGGGAGCTAGCAAATCAGCGCAGGACTTCAGAAGAAATGCGGGTATTCCATCACTGCCTGTCGCTTTGCTGGTGTCCAAGGAACCCAACAGTTTACGCACACAACCTATTGACACCGAACTGAAGGATGTAAAACCCTTAGGTCCCACTGGGCCCTGTGGAAGACAAAGTTCAGGTGCTCGTTGTTGATCACTGACAACATCAGCAAATACACACCCAATGTTGCTTGCAGAGCATTGTGGAACGGATTGAACACGTTGTCTTCCGGATAACTCGTTCAAAACCTTCCACGTTTTCCTGGGATTACCTTGAACACTGCTGAACTTAGACTGAAAAAAATTCGTCTTCAATTCACGGTTCATACGAGTCACGATACGCCTGGCTTCTTTAAACGCATCGTAATCAGTCCGGCACTTAGATTGCAGCCATTTCCGATGAGCGTGGTTACGTCGTTGTATCAACAGGAACAAATGTTCATTGACCCATGGTGAATGCTGTCTTGGTCGGGAAGACGCGTGGCGCAATGGAGCATGAGCATCAAGAATGGGCACAACCTTAGTCAGCCACTGTTGCCACATGTCATCGCAGGACCCACGAAGTTCACAGAGGTTGGCGCAAGAAATATCCATACGAAGTGATGCCAAGTCCATTCTCTTGAAGTTTCGATAAAGTCGCTGAGAAGGCGATGCTGTCGGCACTGGTTTAACACAAATCTTGGTTGCAATAGCACAGTGGTCGCTGAACGGAACTGGACACACATCAGTCGGAGATATGATTTGAGCTGTACTATAGACATGATCTAATAGAGTGCAGCTCCCTTGCAGCGTTATGCGTGTTGGAGATTTTACAAGTTGATGCAGGCCTAAGCTGGTTGTGATGTCATGCAAGGAGGCATGCTGGGATGTAGGAGATTGACTGACCAGATCAACATTAAAGTCACCACAAAGCAGAATATTCTTGGCTTCTCCCGATGCCTTGTGTAACATGGCCTCGGAAGTCTGCCAGTAAGCTAGTGACTGACTCGGTGGGCGGTAAATACACCCGACAAGAAGAGGTTGTGGGTGAGCTTTGATCTCTACCCAAATGCATTCAACGCCATCGGCTGTTAAGTCGGGACGTAGGTGACTAAACAGTGAGTTATTAACATACAAACATACACCACCTCCGGGTTTATCGCGCCTGTCAAGCCGAAATAAAGTATAGTTTGCGATTGACATCTCCATCGACGGAACGGAGTTGTTAAGCCACGTTTCACATACAGCAGCAATGTCAGTTTTTGTGTCCGATATCAATTGGGACAAGTCAGTAAGTTTATTACGTAGGCTGACAATATTCAGGGACAGTGTCCGTATACATCCAGGGTAGAACGGGGTTGCGCCTGGGTTCATTTTACTACTACTAGCCATGGTCAATCTTCAGTACTTTGTTCCTTCGTCGGCATGGACGCCTCGTCATGGAAGCGCCACTTTCTGACTGTGTGGCCGATGGTGGCAGGCCAAAACGCAGGCGTGAGTACGGTGTTGATGACATCAGCCGGAATGGTAACTTTTGCGTATGCTGTGCCGAAATAACGATTTGTGGCAATTGAACAGCGGATGATGTCAATGTTACGATCTGCACAGTACCTGACAATAGATTGCGCCTCACAGCAAACTTCAACATTTCCTACATGCAGCACTGCAAGGCGTTTGCGTTCTACTCCACTTAGAACACCTGGGGCTGCTGTTACAGTCACCTCCTTCACATACTTCGATGTGACAGATGAACGTACATGTAGTTCAGTACTGCCAGTCGCACTCGTGCCGGGATGTGAAGATGACCCACCTGATGCACGTGGGCGGTTTGGGCGTCGTGGACCTTGGGCTTGCCAGGACGAGTTCGAATCTTCAGTGCTGCCAGTACTCATTCGAGCGGGTTTGTCGGTTTGCTTGGTCTGCTGGGTGTCGGTGGCAGTTTGCATAGACTGATGCTGTACATGTTTGTGGGAGTACGGTTTGGGTTCACAGGCTTGGGCTGGAGCAGACTGCGCTACGGTAGCGTACTGACGGTTCCTAACGTTAGCTGTGCTTTGCGTCTTCGCGCCCTCCTGCTGCCCTTCGTTTTTCATCGTTGCAATTTCCTGCTGTATGTGCTCGATGGTGGACTTCATCTCCATGAAACCAGCTATCTTCATAACCATGCCTTCAAGGGCCTTTGTAAAGTTTGCTAGGGAGTCATGCAGTGAAATACAGCTAGCACAACTTACTGGGGCAGAGCTTGCGTTGGTCCCGATTCCTTTAGTCCGTAGGATCGCCACAAGTTCTTGTCGGCTCAGCTTCGATTGACCTTCTTGGAGCACCTTCTTGGATCTTGCAAGGTCACGGATATTGTCATATGACATTGTAGCAAGGTCTACTTCTTCATTCTCACTCATGGTCTCACTCATGGTATGCAAAACGACTGAAGATGATCTTGGAAAGCACCGGAAAGGCGGAGCTCAAAAACTTGCATCCGCACAGTTTTCAAAAAAAAGTGACATTCTCGCAGTGGTAGTCTGGGTGAGAGGCGTCCCGTTGCAGTTAACGTTGAGTTCCAGGGTACTACGGCGTGATGGCTCAATGCCATTGAGGCATTGAGACCTTCTGTTGGATTATTGGCGTGGCAACTAAGACACTGGGATATAGCGCCAGAGTTTTGACATTCGTGATGGCAAGTGTAGGCTCCTCTTGCAACGAGCTTTCCAGGAAGCCCAAGATTGAAAAAATCGTCAAAAGGAGACCAAAGTCATAGCCCGGAGAATTATGGAATTTGAGGTGAGTCGATATCAAATTCAGTCGGCGTACATTTTCCGTACATAAAGGGCTTCAGAGAGCATGATATCTTGCGCGACTGTTGACGTCATTGTTGATATGTTGCCGAGGATCAGTGCATGACTCGTATTTCTCGTCCCCTGGTGCTATCGCCAGCGTGTTGCGGATCCTGGCGATTTCACTACAAGAGAGGGCGAGGGCATGGATGTTTCAGTGCTGGTAGATTAGTGGAAAAGCATGTAGTCTGGATCTTTGTGTGACACATGACGCTGAATTATTTAACTTAGGACTAATACCCTCGCAGTCAGCATTATTGGCCTCATTGGTTTCCAGATGTTGTTAAAGATGATGTGACTAATCCAGCGGTGCTAAACATATTTGTTGTTTGTTTGTTGCCAAGAACCCAGTAACATGAGAGCGAATCTGATGATGACTACGGCAAACATCTTCGTGTCCTGTGTCTAACAGATGTCAATCCACACTGTACTGTCCTTGGTCATCTGCTACTATGTACTCACCGGTACTACAGTGATGAGTTGTCCAGCATCATGTACGTGTGTTGGTGTACCTAGTTACCTTGTAGATTGCTCCGCTCGCGGATTAACAATGGTGCCTGGTGGAATACCGAATACAACAACAACACTGTAAGTCACCCATCTTGGAACATGCCATGCAGCCATTCACACTTTCCATATCCGTTACACTGAATTGTCGGCATTTGCAATGTGATGAGATCATCTGCTCAAAGCTCCGTATGTGATGGATATTCATGATCCATTGTTCATTGGAAGGATCAGGACAAGAAGAAGCCATTGTAGCAAGTCGCATCCCAATTTTAACACTCTCACCACCAGTGTAACAGTCCAACTAACTTCAGTAGTCATTCTTGGAATAAGCAATGATCCTTGCCATAATGCATTCTTATATACATGAACAAGCAATGATGGACATAACACCTAACAGCAGCAGCGTGATAATAGCAGGTGATAAGTGTATCCTATTCCTAGTGTTAGTAGTAACAGTGAATCTGTTACACCATTCCCCCCTCTCAACTGTCAGAACAGTACCAATTCGAAGGAACAGTTATGGTAACTAATGATCATGCATGGATATGTGGAATGCATGGTAGCCGAAAACAACACTGATGAACTCAAGATCCAGTGCATGTCCTCTGAAAATAACGCCTGGCTGGCAGGGAAGCACTATCCTAATCATGCAGAATGCTACATTTCTATTGCAACACGTAGAAACTAGCAATACAACTGTGGCTGCCAATTAAATAGCAATTTTATGAAAAACGGTCCAGGTAGGTTTTCAGCGGAATAATAGCGTTTCCTGCTTCATCCATCAAGTATTCCTCCGGCTCCCAGGTGGCATCTCGGTAGCCCTTCCATTTCACTAGGTACTGCGTGCGCCGTCCTCTCTTCTTGTGCGACAACACCTTTTCGACAATGTACCGCGTATGGCCATCCGCATCGGTTAGGGGTGGAGGTGCCCGCTGAGTACGGCCCGGTATCTCATTGCCATGGTACAGCTTGAGGGCAGCAATATTGAACACTGGATGGGCCCGAATGATTCTTGGAAGAGCTAATCTGTACGCATTCGGGGCCACTTTCTTCTGCACCTTGAACGGCCCATACCACTTGAGCCTTAATTTGTGTGAAGGCCTGTCTCGTTCCTCGGGCGTCAGCAGGAAGTCCCTGAAGACCAACACCTCATCCCCCTCCTTCAGGGCGTCCTCCACCCGTCCTCGATCCGCATACAATGATTTCCGGGCCTGCGCCGTCACGATGGCATCCTGTGCCTCACGTAGTGCCTCTACGCGGCCATCCAGCCATGACAGCGGACCATTCGTGTCCATGCCAGCTCCAGCTTTCTGCTTCGTCAATAAGCTCGAGGGAGTAACTGGATGGCATCCATGGTTGAGGAAAAATGGCGTGTTACCTGTTGACGCTTGATCGGCATTGTTGATCGCAAACTCACATAGCGATAGGAGTTCATCCCAATTGTTTTGCCTATGGTTGACAAAAGCTCTTAGCGTATTCTCAATGACACGGTTCACACGCTCAGTCATGCCATCGGTCTGCGGGTGGTTGGCCGTGCTCATTTTTAGCTCCACGCCAAGAATACTGAAAACCTCCTTGAAGAACGCCGACGTGAATCGCGGATCTCGATCACAAACTATCGTTTTGCTCAAGCCATGGGCAGCAAACACATGATCCACGTACAATCGGGCTGCCTCCTTAGAGTCAACATGAACAGTCGTCGGGATCAGGTGCACATACTTCGTCAGACGGTCCACAAAGGTTAGAATGGCGCTATGTCCTCGGCAGGTCAGCGGCAGTGCCATGATGAAATCCACGCTGATGTCTGTTCAGGGCTGTTCGGGGACTGGAAGGGACTGCAACAGTCCTGCCTTGGTCTGGCTACCCTTTACGCGTTGGCACCGGTCGCAAGATTTAACGAAGTCCTTCACAGTACTTATCATGCCTGGCCAATAGAAGTATCTGCTCAGCTTCAGGTAGGTCCTGTCTCTCCCCGGATGGCCGGCCGTCAGCCAATCATGATTCTGTTTGAGCAGTTGCAGCCGTACCGGACCGCGAGGAATGCAGAGGCGAGCATCGCCCGATGTTACTAGGTACAGCCGCCGGTCCACACTGTTCCAGACGTATCGCTCATGCATGGCGTCTTCGCTGCAAGCCATCAAGCGCTTGATTACTGGCGAAAGCTCTGGGTCACTATCATACCCTGCTGAGATCTGATTCGCAATTCCTTGATTCACATCCAGAGAGAACTCGATTCCATTCAGTTCCAAGTCTGGTCGACGTGACAACGGGTCTGCTATGTTACACTTCCCTGGCTTGTGATGTACCGTGTAGTCATAGTCGGCCAGGAATTCAATCCATCGAGCCTCTCTCTTGGTTAAGTTTGGTTTGGTCCTGAGGTAGACAACTCCCATGTTGTCGGTGTAGAGTTTGAAAGTGGCAAAATAGGTAGACTCGCCAGCACTGCAAGGCGTACACTACAGCCAAAGTTTCTCGCTCGGCGGCCGTGTAATTCCGTTCGGCAGAAGACAGCTTTCGGCTCACGTAAGCCACAGGATGCCAGGACTGGTCCTCTGCTTGCTGCGTTAAGACTCCTGCCACAGCAAAGTCACTTGCGTCAGTCTCAACGCGGAAATCCTGACTGACGTTTGCTAGTCGCAACACTGGTGCATCCAGCAGAGCAGACTTCAATCGCTCAAATGCCTCCTGTCGAGTCTGATTCCACTCGAAGCGCACATGTTTCCCTGTCAGTTCCTCCAGGGGTTTGGAGATGGCCGAGAAATGGTTAATGAACCTTCGAAAGTAATTAGCGAATCCCAGAAACTGTCTTACGTGCGTGACCGTCGTCGGGACAGGCCAGTTATGCACGGCCTTGATCTTCTCTGGATCTGGAGAAATGCATTGGCCGTCTATCCGGTGCCCAAGAAACAGAACGTCTGTCCGGCCGAATTCACATTTAGACGGTTTGCAATATAGCTCATTCCTCCTGAGGGCGTTTAAGATGGTTCTGACATGATCGAGGTGCTCCTCCCATGATTTGCTGAATATGAGGATATCGTCTAGAAACACCACAACGAATTTACGCAGGTATGGCTGGAGGACACTGTTCATCAAGGTTTGGAATGTTGCCGGGGCATTTGTTAGGCCGAAACCCATCACTGTGAACTGAAAGTGACCGAATGGGGTATTTATTGCTGTCTTCGGAATATCTGTTTCTTCTATTCGAATCTGATTGTAACCGGACTTCAGATCTAGCTTGGTGAAATACGCACTGCCTTGGACGGTATCAAAGAGGTCGTCAATATTCGGTAGGCATGCCTTGTTCTTAATGGTTATGCGGTTTAGCTCACGCCAGTCGCATACCATTCGAAGTGTTCCATCCGCTTTCTTTACGAAGAACACAGGGGCTCCGTATGGGGATTTGCTGGGCTGGATGAATCCTCTACGGAGCAGCTCGGTGAGCTGAGCTTGAAGCTCATCCATCTCTGGTTTTGGTAAACGATATGCTGCACGAGATGGCGGTTTAGCTCCTTCTTCCGTTTTTATCTCGTGATCTGCGCCTCTTCTGGGTGGCAGCTTGTTTGGAAGCTCATCGGGAAAGACGTCCCCGAACTCCTTCAGCAGGTCCTTGAAATCCTTCTGATCCTCCCCACCCGGACTATCCACCGTCTGTGGCTCGTCCGGATCTGCTGTCACATACGCTAGGATTCCTTCTGCGCCACCTCTCATTGCATGCCTAGCCTGCTTCCCTGAGATGAGGAACGTCTCCATCGGTGGGTTGGATTTGTCCGTGCCATCACTTTCACTCGGTTGACAGATGATGGATCCACCCTCCAGCTTGATTTCATTGGTACGAAAATTGATCTGTGGGTTCGTCCGGGTCAGCCATGGTTTGCCGAGGATCACGTCATACCGCGTCATAGGGAATACTAGGAACTGTTGGTGCGCGCTAAAGTCGCCGACTACGGTCTTCAAGCTGTCCGTTTTCGTAATAGGCTGTGAGCGGACCGATCCATCAGCAAGTGTGACGTTCAGGACGTCGCTACCGGTTGTTGTGGAGATGTTGTGCTTCTTGACAAGGTCAGTTGAAATGAAGTCGTGGGTTGACCCAGAATCCAGTAGCATGGTAACGCGACGTCCATTTATCTTGCCCTGGACGCGCATTAGGTCGTGTTCGTTGAAATGCTCCCTGTGCTGGCGGTTACTTCATTAGGCCGGCCAACAGTATCAGGTGACGAATGCTTGACAGGCGAGGCTTGAATTTCGGTCTTGTCGAGGCGTGGTTCCTCATTTGCTAAGGGGCTGAATTTGTTCTGAACTTTGATTCGTGGCCTATTCCTGGGTGCTCTCGTGTTCGCCAGTAGTCGCACTCCCTTCCTTACTGGCGTCCATCGTTTAAAGAAGGCTTGCTTGTGGCGTTCCTCCCACCTTCGGGACAGAATCTGGCAATATGGCCGGGTTTCCTGCAGGTGAAACACAGCCTTGAACGACCCTCTGGCTCCCTGGTTTCTCTCCCACCGGATGGTGTTGGTTGGCTTGACCAGGGTCCAGGCTGGCGCCTCTGATGCCCTGGTGCGCGCACTGCCTTGGCGTAGGTTGCTTGGGCTAGCCGCATCGACTGGTCTGCTGAGACCGCAGCTCGTATGGCTTGGGCCAAATGTTGCGGATGCTCCCTAAGTACCTCACCGCTTAGGCCCTGAGCCAGCCCACGCGTGAACAAGATAGCTCTGGAGTGGTCATCAAGCTCGGGAACTTGTAAGCTAAGCCGCGAAAATTTGTTGATGTATTCGTCAAGAGTCTCATATTGGTGAAGAGCGAATAAGTCGATGCGCGCCTGTTCCCTGTCATAAACCGGGCCGTACACTTCTCCCAGCTTGCTCTTCAGGTCTGGCCAGTCGGAAAACAGCGTGTTTGCCTCCTGAGAGGCGATAAACCAAAGACGAGCGTTGCCCTCCAGAAAACTCGCCGCGTAGTTCAAGCGCTCCTCCGCGTTGTCCAGCTGCAGGGACTTCATGGCGAGTTCGATGGCGAAGGCCCACTCCTTGAACTCTCTTGTATCTCCACGAAACACAGGCGGAGACTTAACATGGCGCATGCGT